AATATTTGAGAAAACAACAAAAAAAATTTAGGGTACTGTCATCGCAAAACTGTGCCTAAACCATGGCCCCACGTGGTTTAGGCACAGCCATACACGTCTAAAAACTGGCTTATGTATCCCAATACAAAGATTAGGGACCTAATGAGCGGTGGACAACCAGAGAGGGAGAGTGCATAATAAGCTACAAGATTAAACACCCCGACTCACTCATGGTTTGTTTTTCATATCATGGGGTTGGAAAATTTATTATTTTACCCAAAAGTATTCTTATGAACCAGAGCAGTTATGTTGAACTTATCCTGGACAAACTTAACTGTCTGTGAAAATGTAAGGTTGATGATTTCATGCAGGATGTGGCACTGTGTCATACCGCAAAATTAGTAGTGAACTGGTTTGAATTTTGTATATTATATATATACATGAATATATGTATATAATACACTCACATATATGTATATAATACACATATATGTGTATATATGTGTATACATACATATGTATACATATATGTGTGTATGTATATTATATACATACATGTATATATATATATATATACAGTATGTACATATAGTGTATGTGTGTATACAGTATATATACATGTATATAAATACATATACATATATATATATAACGCACACGCACACATACATTATATATATAAATATGCATATATATATATATCTATATACAGTGTATATATATGTATGTATATAATACACACATGCATATATATGTGTGTATGTGTATACATACATACATATATATGTATATATACATATATACAGTATGTATGTGCGTGTGTGTGTAAATATACAGTATGTGTGTATGTATAGCCATATATATGTATATAACATATGTGCATATACATATATATAAAGATAGATATATGTATGGATATAGATAGAGAGATATGTGTGCATATATATTATATATATGTATTTTATAATATATATCCGTGTGCGCATGCGTATGTATATGTATGTGTGTTGCATTTGTCAACATTATTTCATATCACCTTTAATGTGATGTTTATGCTGCTGTTTTGTTGTCGGTATTACTGATATTATCATTATCATTATTATCATTCACGCACACATACAGTTTTTGATTCTGACTTTTCATTGGCTGGGGTCACGCAAGGAGGCGGAGCTATCAAGGGTATAAAAGTCAGAGCTTGCGTGTTTAGGATCAGTTATTCGGATTTTCCCGCTTGGTAAGTTAGCATTTACTCTTCTCTTCAGGTCATGTTTTTTAAGATAATGACTATTGTTGATCTTTGCAATGATTTGTGTTCATTGATTTGCTGTAACTATTGTATATATGTGTGTTTCGTTTCCTGTTTTATTGTAATATTAACTATAATTTAGCTATTCACAAACATTTCCTGTTACATTTTTCATTTATATTTCGCTTCGACTTGTCTGGATTATGTCACTGGCAACGATTTTTTTTTTTTTTTTTTGATAGAGTAAGGTCAACGAGACAACATGGTATTCATCAAGGTCTTGTTAGTAGCAGCGTTTTGCATTTACCAAGGTCAGTCTCCACAAAGGTTCACGTTTAACTGTAAGCTACCTTTATTTCTCACTTCTCTTTCCCTCGTTCTCTCGTTCTTTTTCTTTCTTTTTCTCTCACTCTCGCTTGTCTGCTATGTCCCCTTCTTTCTTATTTCTCTATCTATATCTGCATCTTTGGCTTAGAACCTATGTATATTTTCACACCGTATAGTTACCAAGACCTAGGGCCGCGTGCAGGGAGGAAGATTGAAACTCGGAACAGCGCCTAGTTCCCTTTGCCAAATGTGCGAAGGTCAGAAATGTAGTAACGGGCTTGTCGGTACCAGTATTCCTTTGCAGGAATTATTGAATTAATTCTTGACCAAAGAAAATCTTCCTTCAGGTGCGGCGAATTGCATTGAGTGGGGCCTTATTGAATGCCAGACGAACAATAGATGTGTGAGCATGCGCGACATCTGCGACGGGGAGAACGACTGCGACGACAATTCCGATGAGGAACACCGTTTGTGCTCCGTGGGTGTTAATTCCTTTTGTTGTAATCTCGGGGAAGGGAGAGTCCTTCGGGAGGGTTTAGAGATGAGGTGAGTGATTTCCAGGGAGGTTACGTTTGTGTACCTTTTTTAACTACCTTCTGACAACGATCTTAATGAAAGAACGTGTAATATTTCTTTGGGTCTTGATCCAATAGTATTAATCACAAAACATAACGTATCATGATTTCATAACATATCTCATATTAAACACTGACTTCTCCCTGCACACTAACATCTTCCTTTAAACACTTCCTTCTTTCTGTCAGCACCAACCTCTTCCTTCCGAAAGTAACCTCTCCCTGACATCACTAACTTCTCCATCCATTCCCACGTGAACGTTTCTCTGCCAACACCGAGTGCAGGCCTGGCACAAGAAGACCTGCTCGTGAGGTAACCCCATTGACCTATCTTATTCTTTGCAACACTCCAACATCTTCCTTCCTCTCCCAGACAACACTAACTCCCCCCAAAAATTAATGTTTTCCCTGCCACCATCCGTTTGCAGATTTTGGACAAGTCAGGATGCGGATCACCTGGATCATTTCGTTGCGACCAAAAGGGTAACGTGACCTGCAAGAGAATCAAGGAACACTGCAATGCGTCCAACCCTCCTTGTGATAATAGAAACGAGCGGCTATGCCAGGTTAGAATTATATAAATATGCTAATGGACTGTTAAGAATAAAGATGATAATGATTTCTTATTATCTTATGTTTGATTAGATGAGTGTGTATGTTCTGGCTTTTTTAGACTATCAATTTCTCGTCACCCAGATGCTGAAGGATGGAAAACTACAGACGAACGTGTTATCTGCCGAAATTTCAGGTGAAGAGTTCCTTGAAAAGTTCAACGTTACAATTGAACATCCTGATTGTCCTCACCTGTACACACGTGTTGGCGACCACTGCTTGTCATTCTTTTTCTTTGGATTGGTGAGTTTATTTGTATTCTTTTTCTGTGCCTTAATGTACGCGATACAGCAGTTATTCTCTTTTTTCGTCTTATGTTGTATCTCTCTGACTTACCTTTTCCCTCACTATCTACCGTTTCTATTTTTCCCTCTGCATCTCTCTATCTCCGTCTTTCCCTTTCTCCTTTCTTTAAGCTGCGCTTTACCTGTATGTTCACATCCTTTTCTCTTATTCCCCCCAACCCCCACCCCCCTGTGTCCACTCCCATATGCATGTCTCTTTGCAGGTCAACTGGGGAGAAGCTCGGTCTTTCTGCAAGATGAATGGCGGTGACCTTTTGACCTTTCAAGATGGCGTCGGGATCTTCTACGAAATCGTCCGCCACCTCCTGCGAGCACAGTGAGTACTGTGGCTGGGCTGTTGCAGAGTGCGCGTGTGCTCTACCCTTAGATTGCTTTCACACCAGGGTCACATCGCACGTGCCAAGTGGCAGATGGTAAGTGGTAAATGACACGTGGCAATGTTACACATCGCTTGGCGATGTTATTGGTGTCCGAAGTCCTAATATATCTTGTGACAATTATCTATCTGTCACCTAGAAGAATAAAGTGGATGACTTTGCGGCAGAATGTCAGGCAAACGGGTTTCAACACTTTGATTGTTTCATTATTTGGAAGAGGGCATAGTTGTGCACGAGGGTAGGTACACATGCATTGTTTCTTCCTGCAAGCTCGTGTGTCGTTACCTTCTTAAACTAAACCGTGTTGTCAAATGTGCTTGACAGAATCTGTCTAGACACTTCAAAACTATTTTATGTATGCCCTACATCCAAATGATTTCCCTTTTATATCATATGTTACATGATATATAGTTTGGACGTAAAAGCTCCATTAGATCTGACACACTGTCCAAGGTGGCAGGTCACTACGGAAATTGTGTTTCCGTATATTCGTTTTCAAGTGGCGTGCCACATGTCATGCGACGTATCACCTTGGTGTGAAAGCAATTTCAGACCAAGGTTGTGCGTGACACGTGCCAGGTCGCGGTGTACCATGCCACTTCTTTTTTGAAAGGTTTCACGTTTCTTTATGTTCATTTTCAAGTGGCGGGCCATGTACAACCTAACACCTTAGTGTGAAAGCGACCTAGGTCTCATTAGTCTTTGAAAGGTTCTTATTAAGCAGGGAACGTGCACTCCACTATTGATATGTATATATATGTATATAAAAATCTTACCGCATTTATTTCCCCAGATATCACCTCGGACTTCTGGGTTGGGGGAGCCATACGAAACAGGACATGGACATGGGTGGACGGTAACCCCATTGAAATGGGCACCCCCTACTGGTCCCTCAGGTATGACCCTGACTCTCTCTCTCGTGTGGAAAAGTCGGGTCCTAATAGCGCAATATATGAAATATCCTCGGAATTAAGCCCACCATTTTCTTCGACTTGCGATTCGATTATATATTTTTTTTTTTCTTTTCTTTTCTTTTCTTTTGGGGGGGTGGTATAAAAGTTAACGAGGAAAGCAATACAAACTCCCCGAGGGTTGTTATAAAATATAATTTAGGATCACTTCCAGTCCGATCTACGTAACATGACATTAAACTGGATTTTTTTTCACATGCTCCTTCTCCTCCCTAGACCGAACCCTAATTGCCAGCATCGCAACCTGACCGCCAGATACAATGAAGAATCTTGTAATCAGTTCCTGCAACGACCACTGACTCCCGCCGTAAGTATGTGCACCGCCCTTACCTTCGAGAACTACTTCTACATGAGCGACGAAGACTGCCTGACGAAGAAGAGCCCTTTGTGCGTCGCGGAAAAGGAACCCTCTTTGAGGGCGTGAGGCGGTCGCAAGTATGTCCCTGTTCTCCATAGAGTACTGTTTCCTTCTTTCTTTTTTAATGGTGACTCCAATTCGTTTCCTGGCATTGGCGACCGAGTTGTGAATAGAAGCATGTTCATGTTGTGATACTGCATTTGTGACTGATAGTTATATCAACTGTCTACAATAAGAAACTTAAAATGATTGTATTTTTTCCTTGATATTCCTTTCATAACTGTAACTCACGCACGCGAACACCTACACATACACACATACATATATATGCGTATGTGTGTGTGTGTGTGTATGTGTATATTCACATATATACATACACACGCACGTATGTGCGTGTGTGTGTGTGTGTGTATATATATATATATATATATATATATATAAGTGTGTGTGTATGTATTCAGCTCTCTCATAAATAAAAGACAAATGAATGTTTATAAAAATAGTAACTAAGATATCAATGATTCATAGTTAGAGCTGCTACACACAGCATTATGATACATTATTGTGGCGAAAGGGGAAAAAATGAATTAACGATTAGGATAAGTGGCCAGAAGAATGAATGGACAAGAAAAGGAAAGAAGTAAAGACCATGCAAAATTTCTTGAGGCGAGGGCTGAGGTCCAAGGCAGGGGTGATCCCCTATATTGGGCCTCACTCTCCGCCTCTTAAGATCATAGAGACAATAGACCGCGAAGAGATTGATTGATTGATTATTTAAAATTATCTGCCGCGTCAACAGCTAAGGTCATTAGCGGCGAACACCTTGTTAGGTTGAAACATTAAAATATTTAAAACGTTAAAAAATTATCAATAAATGTCATAAATAACAATAAATATTATAATAAAACCAAAGCATAAATATTATGCTCTAAATAAAATAAATAAATAAATAAATAAAAACTATTGCATAAACATTATGCATAATTAAATTTTATTGAAAATATTAGTTTCCCTAAGGAAACTAATAAGACCTTCTATGTCACAATCCTCCCCCAAAACATTTTTCAATGTATATGGGGGAGACAAGTTCCTTCGTCTTTGGTCTGAGAATGTTGCACATCTCTCCACTATATGTGCGACCGTTAATGGCTCTTGGCATCCCTCACAGCGTGCTTCACTCTTAGCCATCATCGGCCCATGAGTCAGTCTTGTGTGCCCAATTCTCAGCCTTGTTAATACAACTTCCACTTGTCGGTTACGATGGATGCTGATCACCCAACTGCCAAGGTCATCTCTAATCTCTCGTAGCTTATTTCTAGAGGTATGCCTCCATTGTTCCCTCCATTCATCACGAAGACAACTTCTGATGCTGGGTTTCATGTCAGTGTGTGGGAGAGGAAAACGAGCATCACAAGGCTGAGCGGCAGCTGCCTTGGCCTTCTGATCAGCTCGCTCATTCCCACTGATACCAACATGTGCTGGCACCCAACACAGAGTTATCTTTTTACGTGCTGACATCAGTGCAAGCCAATCTTGAACTTCCCTCACCACTGGATGTGATGAGTTTAAGCTCTTGATTGCTTGCAAGGCACTACGAGAGTCACAATATATTACAACAGAATGGTTTGTAAGATCTCTAGTCATCTTGACTGCTGCAAGGATAGCATGTAACTCGAAACATGAAAATCGAGGCTGATCGAGAAAGACTGCCAGATGCAGTCTTCCTTCTGCTCACTGCTGCAAAGCCCACACCATTTTCAGATTTCGAACCATCTGTATATATTGCATATGATACCTGGTACTTAGAAGTGTGTTGAAGAAATATCTCTCTGACTTCTGCTTCGGATCTCTCCCCTTTCCCAATTCCGACCAAATCAAGCTCGACTTGATTAGTCCAAGGGGGGACTTGGGAAGTTCCAACAGCCAGAACCTTTGTGAGATTTAAATTAAGATCTTCCACAAGATTTCTCATTCTCCTACCATAGGATCGGCTATCCTCAAGGGGGTTGAAAACCAATCTGGATGTAGGAGATCCCGGAATCCTTTGTAGTCTCGTGTAATAAATCAGGTTCATGTAGTCCCGGTGTAATGAAAGAGGTGGTTCTCCACTCTCAGCATACAGGGACTCCACAGGTGAAGACCTGAAAGCTCCTATACAGATTCTCAGAGCTTCATTATGAACCGAGTCCAACATCCGAAGAACAGTGGGAGTTGCAGATGAATATGCCTCACATCCATAGTCGAGTTTACTACGAATAAGTGCTCGGTAAAGTCGCAGAAGCGTTGTGCGGTCTGCACCCCAAGATAGGTGTGAAAGAACTTTTGTAGCTTTCACCTTTAACTGTTTAATATGAGGCACCCATGTAAGCTTTGAGTCAAAGATTAGACCCAAGTACTTTATCTGTTGGGCAAAATGCAGTGGGTTTGCTCCTAAATAGAGGGAAGGGTGAAACTTTCCTCGTTTGTGGAAATGCATAGCCATGGTCTTGCTTGGAGAAAATTTGAAGCCATGGTATGTTGCCCATTGCACAACCTCATTTATTGCAGTCTGCATGTGTCCTTGCACATCCTGTAAGCTTCCTCCTGAGCAGTATAGTGTAAAGTCATCCACATACAGACTACATGAAACAGCACTTGGAACGACCTTTACAATGTCATTTATAGCAATGGCAAACAGGGTCACACTTAAGACACTTCCCTGTGGGAAGCTGGTTCCTACCCTCACTCTAAACTTCCTGTTAGCAAGGAAGCTTTTGTATGAAGGTTAGCTTCATGTGTATGCCATGCTTCCAAGTCGTATCATAAGCCTTTTCAAGATCAAAGAAGACTGCTAACATATGGCGTCGCTGTGTGAAGGAATTCTGTATAGTAGTTTCCATCCTCACAAGTGCATCTGTGGTCGATCTCAGTTTTCTAAACCCATATTGATATGGGGTCAGCACGTTTTCTTTTTCTAGCAGCCATGTCAACCTGAAGTTTACCATTTTCTCCATCAACTTGCAGATACAGCTGGTGAGAGAAATTGGTCTATAATTCCCTGGTATGGAAGCATCCTTGCCAGGTTTCGGGACAGGAATGATTATAGCTTTCCATGTGGATGGCACTGTTCCCTCCCTGTAGATCCTATTGAATAGATCCAACAGGAACGTTTGGGAGCTCTCTGTTAAGTGAAATATCATTTGGTATGGAATACCGTCTATTCCTGGGGCAGTCTTACGGCAGAGCTGCAAAGCAGAGTCCATCTCCTTGCGCAAAAATGGCAAGTTGTATGGAAGTTCTGCTGCAGTGCTACTGAAGAACGACACTGGGTGTCGTTCCTGTTCAGCCCGAAGAGTGGAGAATCGGGCAGTGTAAGATGCTCCAGACGAGATCTCTAGCAAGGATTTTGCCAGCTCATTTGCAACATCAGTTTTGTCTGTGAGGATTATGCCATCTATTTTCAGAGCAGGTGGTGATATGGATGTGCTCTTTCCAGCGATCTTACGCACCTTGTCCCATACCCATGCTAAGGGGGTCCCAGAGTTAATCGAGGAGACATACTGCCTCCATGATGTCCGTCTAGCCTCCTTTAGCACTCGCCTGGCCTTGGCTCGGGTCTTTTTGTACTGGATCAAGGTTACATCGCTTGGGCGTCATTTCAACTGCCTTAATGCAGGTTTTCTTGCTCTGACAGCTTGTTGGCATTCATCAGACCACCAAGGTACCGGAGGTCGACGGTACTGCCCACTACTTCTGGGAACTGATGCTTCTGCTGCAAGGTGAATCCGCGATGTGAAGTGATTAACAGCATCTTGAACACACTGGAAATCATTCACAGATCCTTGCAATACTGCAGTTGATCTAAAAAGATTCCAGTCTGCATGTTCAAGTCGCCATCTCCGCACTCCAATGGCTGGAATGCCATTTACCTCTTCCAAAAGTATTGGAAAGTGGTCACTTCTATGTAAGTCTTCCATGACCTGCCAAGTGAAATTCAACTGGGAATCGGGTGAGCCAACTGACAAGTCAATATTGGAGAATGTCCCAGTTTGAATATGGAAATGTGTGGGTGCATCACTGTTCAGTAAAACTGCATCTACTCTTGAGAACAAAGACTCCAAGGCCCTTCCTCGAGGATTGCACATAGTGTCTCCCCAGAGGTGATGGCGACCATTGAAGTCTCCCAAGAGTAGAAATGGATGAGGCAACTGTCCAAGTAAATCTTCCAAATCATCTATGTTGAGATTATGTGGAGGGAGGTAGATGGATGCAACAGTGTAAGGTCGTGTCAAGCCTATTCTCACGGCCTTCACCTGGAGTGTCGTCTGAAGGTGGATGGCCTGGAAGGGAATATCCTGATGTACCATCACTGCTACTCCTCCATGAGGTCCATTATCAAAGGTCCCCTAATGGGCTTGAACTTGGAATCCTCTCAGGGAAATTAAACGATTTTCCCTGATCATAATCTCTTGTAGGCATACACAAACTGGATTACAAGAAGCTATCAGATGTTGCAGTTCTTCCCATTTTGCATGAATTCCCTGACAATTCCATTGGATTAGGGTATCCAGTTCTTGTGGTTGACAAGTTACTTCATTAGGTGTTTGGCAGCACCTGTGGTTAAGGTCCGCCCCACACCTTTAGGCTTGGGAAAACCTTGGGAAAAAAAGCATCTTGGGAAAACCTTTTGATGGTTTGTTTACCTGTGGAACTAGTTTCCACAGGCTTTCTTTGGACAGGCGCAGGATTTCTTTGCTTGGCCAAAGAACGGACCTGAGCCTTTGGTTCAGGAACATTCTGTTTAGCAACAGCCTGGTGGCTCCAAAGACCCGACTCTATGGGGAGTCTTTTGAACAGGCTCAGGATTCCTCTGCCTGTGCAAAGGATGTGCCTGAGCCTTTGCTTCAGGGGCATTCTGCCTAGCAGTAGAGGCCCCTGTGGATGTGGTGGCAGCTGGAGCTGTCACCGTTGAGGTCTCTGGAGCCTTAACTGATGGTTCCAAAGACCTTACTTTGGGAGGAGGAGTCTCCTCAATAGACCCATCACTCCTACTTCGTTTCTGGTGGACCAACTCACCAGAATCAGTTTCAGCATTTGAGGACTGATGTTTAACTGTAGTGGCAGAGTGTGTGGTATTAGAAGTATTGGAGGGAAAGGGATGGCGGGAAGGAGAATAGGCTAGAACTGAAGCAAAGGACTTACCCGGCTGTGCAAATAGCACACGGGCACGTCGCTTTGCTTCTGCAAAACTAACTTTCTCCTTGCTCCTTA